TAAATCTATAATTGAAACATCTGAAATCTTACTGAAGTCAAGACAAAATGGTCTTTGCTTGATTTTATCTAGTTACAGTGTATCAACTTAATGTAGCATGATGCTTCACAAAATGAAAACTGTCATGTCGGTCAAATATTAGAGAGGCAAACTGTTTCCTCTTTTTATGAGGTAAAGAAAGTTAAGGTACAATGACCTACCAAGAATGCCCGTAAACACAAACAATTACTATTCATAGCTCTAGATGCACAAACCCAGACATATTTTAAGGTCTGCTGGATATGAATGTAAACAATATTGCACATATCTTTGAAATAATACAATTATAAACATTCCACAATAGAAATAAACATCATGGTTAATTTTAGGATCAATGGCTTTAAATCAAATCCTGATATATTTTTTCTAATTTGTTTAGTATGTGATTAACTTTGGTTAGTGTTTAAGTTTTGAAATATTGAAATTAGATATACAGCCATTATAATTTCAGTATCTTATAAAAGTTTGAATGGGAGATGAATTATTATAAGCAGATCTGCTTTTTTTTCAAATCCCTTTCATCATGTAGCGATGTATTTAAATGCATATAAATGTTTTCTTGAGTAAATACTGTTTAAACCAAAGTTTAAATGTCAAGAAAACGGTTGGCTTTTCTTTTTAAAGCAACATCAAAGATGGTCAATATTATTTCCACAATGTGTATGTAACTTTTGATATGTTTTCAAGGATTTGGTTTTGTTAGATAAATACTATTAGTTTCTCTGTTTTTAGAATTCTTCTTTGATAATATTACTCTCTGTTAGTGTGACAACTTACGTAGCATGAAGCTTCAAAATTGAAAATTGATATGCTTTCAGACATAAATCAATGTGGCAGACTATCTTATCATTATGAAATAACGAAAGATAAAATACCCTGATTTGAATGTAATGACAAAATTTCTTTTGATAGATCAGAATACACATTTTTTATTGACGGGTAAACAGACATTTCTAAGGTCTGTTTGATATAGATGTAAACAGTATTACACAGATCTTTGAAATGACAAAAATATAAAGTTTTCTCAATACAAACTAAAATCATAGGTTTTTGTTCTAAATGCAAGCTTTAGAAAAGACGTTACATAAAATTCATAGATGTGATGACAATTTGTTTTATTTTTTCCTCTTATGAAGTAAAGAAAGTTAAGATACTATGACCTTTCAAGAATGTCTGTAAAGACAAACAATTTTTATTCATAGCTCAAGATACACATTTTCATTGACCTCAAGAATCAGAGAAACAAATATCATCTATTTAACAAAACGATTGTGAAAACAAACAGAATTTTTTTTTGTCAAAAGAAATGACTGTTAAACACTTTAGTTCAATTGCTTACAGAAAAATTGTTACAAAAATTATCAGGTTTTCATTTAGATAAAAAAAAATTATGTAAAATAATGATGAGAGTATATAAGCAAGAAGTTGTTTTTGAAAATAAATCCATTCATTGTTTAATTTAAAACATATTTTATTGGGCTTAACTTTGGAAAATATTTAAGTTTTGAAATATTGAAATAAAATATACAGCCATTATAACTTCAATGATTTATAAAAGGTTTGAATGTCATTATTTTCTTTTCAAAACAACATCAAAGAAGGTCAATGTTATTCACACAATGTACATATAACTTTTGATATCTTTTCAAGGATTTGGTTTTGTTAGATAAATAATATATTAGCATCTCTGCTTGTGAAATTCATCTTTGATAATAGTACTCTCTGTTAGTGTGACAATATATGTTGCATGAATGTTATGTTTTCAGACATAAATCAAAGTGGCAGACTATTTTATCATTATGAAATAAAGAAAGATAAAATACCCTGACTTATCAAGAATGTAATGACAAAATTTCTTTTTATAGCTCAGAATACACATTTTTTATTAACGGGTAAACAGACATTTTTAAGGTCTGTTTGATAAAGATGTAAAAAGTATTACACAGATCTTTGAAATGATAAAAGTATAAGGTTTTCTCAGTACAAACTAATTATAACATCATAGGTTTTTTTTTCTTCTAAATATCAGCTTTAGAAAAGAAGTTACATAAGATGTGATGACAATTTGTAATTATTTTTTCCTTTTATGAAGTAAAGTAAGTTAAGATATTATTACCTTCCAAGGATGTCTGTAAAGGCAAACAATTTTCATTAACCTCAACCATCTGAGAAACTAATATCTATTTAACAAAACGATTGTCTAAATAAGTAGACCTTTTTTGTCAAAAGAAATAATGACTGTTTTTTAAAAACATTTTAGTTAAATTGTTTACAGAAAAAATGTTACAAAAATTATCAGACTTTCATTTAGATAGAAAAAAAAATTGATTTCTGTGTAAAATTAAGATCAGAATTTGTTTTTGAAAAAAAAATCATTCAATGTTTAATTTAAACATATTTTATTGAAATCAATCAATAAAGATTCATTTCTTTGTTTGCAAAGACACCGATTTTTTTTTTCTTATCAATAAATAGATTAGATAATATTTCCAGATTAAAAAAAAAAAATAAAGCAAAATTATGCACAAATACGATATAGATTAATCGATCTTCTTGCGACAACAATATTTTTTTCTGTACATTACACTGAAATTTCTAACACACTAATGAAAATCATTTTCCATTGACGCAATCGATCGCTTCTGGTTTTACATAAAAGATCAACACAAAAATTCAAAAGAAAAAAATAACATGAAAAATTTGAAATTCAAAATATTTTATTTTCATTGTACACATATGAATGAGTTTGTCATAAATTCATACCAAGATTTGTTTTCTTTGTATTGATAAACAATGCATTGATTAAAATTTTAGCCACTTGATATTTGATTTAGTCATTTGCTTCTTCTTGGGAGGTTGGTAACCCGGCGGTGCACCGTCCGTCTGTATCTTTACCACATATCTGCCACCACTCTGAACCTCGGAACGATCCATCATTTTCTTGTTGTGAATGAATGACGTGGGGGTGTCGATGTCTTTCAGTGCTTTATAAAACTGTTGAAATCCAATAGGATTTCCTTTAACATTTGGACTTAATGCATGTTTTATAAGATCACTGATGTGAGAACCCTGAATGACGTCCCCTTTGTAGATTAAATTTCCATTTTCTTTCCAGGACACTACGTCTCCTCCGTATCGTGATAAAAATTGAATTAATCCTCTCGCTTTGTTTTGATATTTCACTGGAATGGTGTGCTCCAAGATTTCTAGAATTCGGGTTTGAGTAGGTGGGTCTTCATTATTGGGAGGGTCCTTCTTGGGTATAGGGGGTTTCTCCTGTAGACTGTTCGACTTTTCCTCCGATTTCAGCAGAGTTTGGAATTTTTCTTTTGGTACGAGTACTAGTTCTCGAGCCATTTTGAAAGTAGTGTAGTGCTGGTTTGATCAATTGAGGTATGATCTTCTGATTTTTTAACAGTAAAGTTTTGCGTCGTGACTTGTTCACAGATCTACTGATCAGAGTACGAATGACGTTTTTGTAAGGTAGCAAAGTATTTACGTACTTTTTGGTGACTGGGATGGTTCCCTTGTACACGTTATAAATAACTTCGCAAAGTGTCTGCATTTGATCAAACGACATGCTCGTCAATAAGCCACTTCTTTGTTTGGCGTTTGCAATACACAACAAGTCTAAAAACGAGAAATGTGCTTTCAGTCTGCGATTCATCTTGAAAATGATGCAAATTCGTAATTTAACATTATATTTATTTGGACAGGTAAACAATGTTATCCTCTTTGGGTAAAATATGCGTGCGCAATCTGTACTTGTCATCCGTCCCCGGACTCATGTCGACAACCAAATATCCAAAGGGAACCGAAGTCGCTTTGTCATAGGCATCTTTAAAATATTTCAATTTCGATGGAAACACCTGAGATCCAAAAGTTAACACTTGTCTGGAATCTCTTACATTTCGAAAGAGAATGACATAATGGCAAATTTAATGAAATGGTTCGGGCAAACTTTCCTGGCATGTACAGATTTTGAGCAAGCATGAATACACTCACTCGACGATGGTGAGCCGTCACACAAAACAAATTCAAGGACTCTTCACTCTTGGCAACTTGCATCATCATGTCGTCCAACACCAAGACGGTGTGTTCCACATCGTCACTCCATTCCTCGATTTGTTCTTTGGAAGGTAGCCCTTGATGCAAGATCAAATTGTCGATATTTTCCTCCATTTCCTCGAACAGAGGTTGATATTCTGTGTAAGCAACAATTATCCTATCCGGTGGTTTTTGAAACATACCATCAGCTTCTTTAAGAATTTTGTAAACTAGAGACGTTTTACCACTCATGGTGGGACCAACAATCATGGCCGTAGCAGGGGAATGAAAGGGTAAAAGTGATTTGTATTCCCACCAATCCTCCATGATCATTTCTCCAACGAGACTGAGTCGTGAAGGTAAAAAACGTCTGTTTTTTAAATGTGAAATGAAACCAAAACAGTGAATGACATATTTATTAACAACACTCATGAATATTTCTCAAAAGTAGTCTTTACAAGCAATCTGTATAGTCAGATACAAGGCGATATACAAATAAATCGGGATCATCCTGCCTGCTAATATATTCTACAATGTATGGAAAGCTATATTTGCAACATCTCATCAGCAAAAAAAAAATAGCACATAATATCCACACGTTTCAGCACTCTTTTTCTGTAATTGTTTATTTGAGTAAACTGTATTCTCAGAATTGAACATTAAAAAAGTCTTCAATCGTTCATCATAATACTCTGGAGGTTTGCCCAAACTGTCAAAAAATTCTGCTTTTTGTGGACTGTCCATCCAAAAGACGACCCAGTGTTCTCCCGGAAGATGAGAGGGGTCCGTGTTGCATACGTAGGCGGATGGATAGGAATCAATTTTTGATGGTATTGTATCTGGTGAATATACACCTTTGACGGACGTAGAGAGCAAGTCGTGACTTCTAATGAAGCATCGAATTTCAGAGGTATTCATACTCTGGTGTATTTGATGTCGCGGGAATAATCCACTTCCAAGAGAGCCGGAAACTCTGCGTAAGCCAAGCAATTTAGTGTTTCGATTGTATCGGCAGCAAACTTCACCTTTAATCTCACGTTCCCTTGCCTCACCAGGTTTAAATACTCCTCGCCCAGGTCGTCAGGGACCAGGCTAAAAGCATAAATGGCATAGCCTTTTCCAAACATGAATCTTTTAATCTGTAGACCTGCATCTTTATTCCATTTCTCTGCCACCTCAAACAAATTGACATAAGGCGAAATGTAATTTTGATTAAGTCCTGTATCGATTTTCATGGGTCTGGAAGGCAAGCTCTCGCCGTTAACGTAGAGAGCTATTTCCTCTGCCAGATTCTGAAAGTTGTAGGGATTTTTCTCGTAGTTCCCATTTACCGCCGTCTGTGACACGAAACAGAAAAGAGCTTTGGTCGGTAGAGTGTTGGACCACACGTTCTGCCAGATAAACGTGCCAGATCCCTTGGGACAGGTACTCATTTTCACTTCGGTTCTGGTCAGAGGATATTTGGCCGTCTTGTCCTTCAATATTTCGGCATGATTGATCAGTACTCCACTGTCGGCTTTGATCTTGCAGACCTTAAATGAAACGTCTAGCAACTGCAATTTGTAACTTGGACTTGTCTCTTTGCTCATGAGCACAAAGGGAGCAGAATTCTTAAAAAAACTTAAGATGTACATCCACACCATTGACCAGGTATTTGTCTAGTCTAAAGACGTCCTCATATAAAGGACCTTCCATGTCGAAAACCTGGCTCTTCTGGGTGAATGCGTATCGATTGGCCAGTCCTCCGTTAGAACCCCCGTAGGCGTCAGGGTTATCCATGTCGTCGTCGTCTAAATAGTATAACTGGGACTGTAACTGAGATTCCGTGGCATCGCCTCCACTGGACATAAGGAGTTTTAGATAAGCTTTCCAAGGATAGTAACTGGTGTTGAGGGAAACGAGTTTTCCATTCATGTATATGTTGATCTGTGACCACATCGATTGCTAAGGTACATTGATGATTCCGGTCTTTTCCTGGGCGGCGAGAGCAGTCCCGTCCGATTTAATGATCTTACATTTCACATATAGTCGACTGCGTCTAAGATCGATGTACTCGTTACCCTGTCCTGGTATAGAAATTTCGATGGGGGCATCCTCGGAATCGAAGGAGCTGACAGGTCTGCATTCCGAATAATAGATTTTTTCTACAGCTACTTGATTGGGAGGGACTGTAAATAAGGTTAATTCTGCTGGAAGTCCGATGTCGGTGATCTTGTCATTTAAAAACGCCATTATTTCTTCAGTTTCTTGAATATAGTACCTTCCCAATCTTCTTCCTCAAGTTTCTTTCTCTTTACACTCTTAGATGTTATCGCCTTGACAGCAGGCTTAGGTTTGATTCTTTCTTGCCGTTTACCGACTTTAATAGCCTTCTCTGACACGTGAGGAATGCTTTCCTTGATGGCTTCTTTTAATTCCGATTTCGCTCTTTCTTCCACGGCAGCCATGGGAGTCACGTGTTTCCCCACGACCTTCTTGTCGGGGGATTCCGTTGAGTGTGGGTTGACGGAAATCATGTAAGGTTTCTTGGAAAACATTCCTCCTATTCCACCGCCCGTTTGACGACCCCTATATTTTCCAGGTCGAAACTGACCATCCATCATGTTTCTGTAAAACGATTTCCAGACCCTAGGATCTGAAACGTAGGTTGAACCCATCATTGTATTTCAAACAAGCGTTTCTTCAAGAGGAGGGTTACGGTTACACCGCCTTTTAAAAATGAAGCTGCTTGATTAGAAGAGTTCCTTATATAGATCCTCACGTCTTGAAATTCGCCCAATCGAAGGGGTACTTCGTAAGGGTTGTCTTGACACAGATTACTACACACGTATAATTCTCGCTCGGTATTACCCGAGAGTAAAGAAAATTCCAAAAGTGAAACGGTCCAGTGACCTTGAAAGTACAACGGTTTAGGTATATGTACTTTAAAGTCATACGGAGTGTTTCCGGGATAAACGTTGTGACTGTCAGAAGATCTGAGAACCAATCTTATGCTCATTTTGAAAAAAAAAATGATCATCTATTTGCAAAATCCGCCTTATTTATACCTCTTGCAGGTCTGACTTCTTGATCCAGGAATTAAATTTGGCTGGCCACTGGTGCCAGGATACCAGTACTTCAGCTACCCCCTTTCTCTTTCGTTCTTTTAAAATTTTATCGATTTTCCAAATGGAATCGTCGTCCTTGTTAACTTTCTGCAGTTCTTGAGAGTAAAAAGTACCGGATATGGATTCGTCTGCAAAATCTTTGAGTTTGTACACGGGAATGCCTTGACTGCGGAATCTACTGCTGACTTTGAATATTTCTCCTTTCCACTTTTGATCGTATTCTCTTTGAAACAATAGGCGCAAATGTGTTATCCGCACTTTATCGTTAATCTTAAACTTGTATGATTTCTCTTTTGAATATTTGGTAGTTGAAGACTTGACGTTCATGGGACCTTGTGTTTTCTTATCATTTTTAGTTCTGTGTAAATAAGCACTATATCGAACTTCGTCTTCGTTATTTTCAGTGACGTTTGCAGGTGCAAATCCTCCCAAAGGTCGAGACGGTGTATTGTTAATGCTCTCTGTGATAAATGGTAATTCGTTCAGATATTTGTAAGATTGCTTATGAGCAAACATTCTGTGTAATCTGTTTTCTAAATTCTGTATGCTTCTCTCTGCAAAGTTACTTTTTGTCATTTTCCGTAAATATTTGATGTACGCTTTCTTTTTTCAAAAATGCAGAAACCCATCTATTCTTAAATTCGCTACCCTTATCGGTTCTCAGCACTTTTGGCTTTCTCCCTTTGGCAAATATGACTTTTAAGGCATCTATCACGTTAGTGGCTGTCTTTTGTTTTAAGGGAGCCGTAAATAAAAAACGAGAAAAGATATCTTGTAACACCAGAATGTACTGAACTCCATCGTTTTCCTTGGATATGTTTCTTACATCTTGTAAATCTCCATCCCATATCGAATCAATAGAATCGGTCAAAATGTGCCTTCGTGGAAACTTTCTACGAACCCTCTTTTGTAGAGAATACGATTCCAAGTCTGATAGAAATTGTTTTATGGCTTTCAAGCCGATCTTATGTTTCCCCTCTTTTTTCACGATCTGATAAAGTTTATAAGGACCAGCAAATGAGGCTGCCTTTGTAACATCGGTCCAAATGTTCTCCAAATATGCCTGTTGTTCTTTTGTCAACTTCATGTTCACTTATGAATGTAAAAATAAAAAACTTGGACATTATATACATTTTATTATAAAAACAGTATGTTAAATGTGATTGACATCAAATTAAAATAGAAATGATACAAGTCACACACATATAATAATATTTATCATACATAATATTCATTATTTATGTCACACAAAACAATATTTACAATCTTTTTGTTTTTGAACACAGTTTTATGTAATATATGTTGAACACAGTCATTCAAAAAAGTGTCACACTCTTCCTCTTTAGTAAGTATAGTTAGAGTACTCGTTGGGGTTGCACCTGGGGCACTGAAGGAATCCCATTTGATTTTGATGGCTCTCCGAATTTTCACAGTACTCCACGCTTCTTATCTGGTCTCCAATAACATTTCAATTCTTCCCATTCATCGAATGTAAGTTTCAATGAGTTGTGAAATAGTGTTGACATCTATATCCGACAGACCTTAAAAAATGTCTACTTTCCCGTCAATGAAAATGTGTATCCTGAATTATCAATAGAAATTTTTGTCATTACAGGTATTCTTGGTAAGTCATGGTATCTTAACTTTCTTTATTTCATAAGAGTGGTGAAATAGTCTGCCTCACTGATTTATGTCTGAAAACACGATAATTTTCATTTTGTGAAGCTTCATGCTACATTAGATTGTCACAATAACAGAAGGTAAAATCACTCAAAAGTCATTCTACCTTGACTTCAGTCCGTCCTGTTCTGGTATCAATATCAATACGTTTTTCCCAGACGTAATGGTAAAATGGTGAATGTGATTGTAATACACTTTCCAGTCCCCTCCTGCTAATCCACAACCAATTTTGAATGGAAAGCTAGTCTTCTGTGAGGAATATTTTTTAATTTGGAAAGACTTTGTGCAAACTATTGCTCTCCATTAATTTGAGAATCTTTGAAAGGAGGGATATTTCTCCGACTCCTATGACCATAGTCCCACTGTGAATATAAGCAAATGACGTCAGGCATACCGATCTCAGGGGATTTCATGATCTGTATTGTTCCAGGTGTACTTCTGTCATTTAGAACAGCTAAGTTTCTTGTACCTTGTGGTCTACGTGTTTTGTACACATCACCCCAAGGGTACGTTTTGCTTATTTTCTCACTTAGTCCGTGAGGTTTAACTGTCAAACAGTTACACTGATGAACGATTCCATCAACGTCCTTTATTTCCAATAAACATCCATATCTATATTGAACAGCCATCTCTTGTACTATCTAGTTTCTTTTGTAAAATAGGTGAAATTATACTCTCTGTTTGTTGAATTCTTCTCTTAAAATGTGCTCTGTCAATGGCATAAGTCATCCATTCACCCTTTCTGTCCTCGACAGGAATGAAAAAGATTTCTGTATTGTCACTAAAGTGAACATGTTTTTGAGATGTATGTATTTTTTTTACATCACTAGGTAAATGACCCATATTAAATATCACTCTAATATGGAGAATATTTTTTCGGCATAACCCTCCGTTTTAATAAGTATTCCTCTGACCCCCAACTGTCAGCAATATCATAACCGTCCTTAATCACAGTCTGAAAATCTTTGATACAATCTGTTTTGCGATCAAACCATTGGCTTTCTTGTAAAGTCCAGGTTTTCTTTTCAGACTCTTTCGATAATCTTAGTGCACTCCAGGCTACAATTTTCCATTTGTACTGTGTCCTTCGACTGTCCATAGTGAAATAAAAATTTAAGCCAAAGGAAAAGATATTTATAAGTGAAAAACCCCATTTTCATTGGACTATAAGTGTCAAAAAATAAAAACAATTAATTCATTTATTATGAAATATGGAGATTAAATTCAAACTTGCACACGGATCAAATGAGGGAGTTTTAAAATGGAAGAGTCAATATGTCCAACAGATGTTTTCAAATATTTCCATTGCATTTTACTCATTTGTATTCCCTTAATAGTAGGTAACCCGTCTTTAAAACGTCGAATATCAATCAAACTGTTCTGGTTCAAGCTACTTATAGAAACATAAACATCATTAGTTAGGGGAAACTGGTCGGTATACGGACACATTGGAGACGTTTTGTTCTCATCATTTTTCCATTCTATGATATCCATCGCTAAATCAATACCATTTTGTCCTTTCTCCAGCCATAGGAGATTGACACAAAGCAATATAAGAACGGCCATTAAAATGATAAGCATTGGAATCATCCACACTTTGTCCCTCCAGCAAGTACGTTTGAGTGTTGTTCTACACTCTTCATCACAAGTGTTCTCAATCAAATTTGTCATAACCGCAACACTCTCCATTTCAATGTATTTTTTTCTAACCAACCTTTTCTTGGTCAGAACAAAGATTGAATGAAGATTCGGTCATTACTTTTATACTCCCCCATTAATAGTTACATGGGTCACAAACAACGACCAATTATTATTTGGACACTAGATCTATCACTTTGCTTTACATCTGTTTATTTTAAACCATATAAAGTTTTCAATTATAGATTTAGGACATACATCTATAATTATGCATTCATTCCTCGCATACATGACGCATGCTCAGTTGTCATCTTATGAATTGCACAACCTTGCGTCATAAATCTATAATTGGCCCACCCGCCATTTTTAAATACATCTATAATTGACCCTCAGCCATTTTTAAATACATCCAAAAATAAACATCCAAATACGAGAAGGTATATCTGCAGCACACAATCACTTAACACATATTTTAAAAAATGAAGATATATTTGAAGAAGTTCAAAAATTTGATTTTTTTAATTTGTATTTTGACCAACATCTCAAAATTCAAATCACTGTGCCCAACTAGCAGACAATGAAATAAACAATTTAAGGTTCTACTTTCTTATTTGTAACCACTGTGTGGCCAGTGGCAAGGAGCCTGTTAAATGAGCATCAAAAAAGTAGCAAAATTGAATGTATAAAAGTCGAAAATTTGTCCAAAAAAATAATTAAAAAATATTTCTTCCTCCTACGGACCTTTTCATTTTGGTATTCATAAACCAAAAATAAAAAATGCTGGCCCAAATTAGAAAAATACTTAAACTTGCTGATCCAAAACCCAACATCCGAGGATTTTAATATTTTGACATTCCTTTCCAATAAGAATCAATGAAAATGATAACGATCGCTGATCGATCTCAAAACACAGAATAAAGTGCCCCGCCACAGCATGATACGCCCGTCAAATATTGTTCAATTGTCACAAACAGTTTAGAATGCAAGAAAATCATGTCAACCTTGATACAAGGATTTCAATGATTTTTTCCATTCCTTATAATATTTGTTTATACATCTCCTGTGGTGTAGGTATTAATTATAACAAATATTACATTATAGATCCTAAACTGGTTGTGTTAGAGCTTGACAAATGCCCATCTGCAGCCCCCCGCCCCTCCCCGCTTTCAGATTTGTGAGACATGATGCTCTGAATTAGCTGATATTTTCAAAAAATTAAATAAAAATATCATATTAAACAATATCAATTTAGTCTTAACAACTTAATCTATATCAGATTAATATTAAAAATAAAAGACTGGCCATCAAATGACATATGCTGTAAACTGACAACCAGTTCTGTAGTCGTTGATTTTAATAACAACGAAGGGACTTTGGGTTCAATTAATATATTGTATATTCTATCATATGTACAGGTCATTGTGTAGTTCTGTAAATAAAATATTTAACAAATAATTCACAGACAAACAAACATTCACAATCATCACATAAAACACTGAATTTTCTGGCTAAGGGAAATAACTCCATTTTCCTCATAACTTTAAGGATCATAAAATAATCATTTCAGGCATTATATTATGCAACTTCATTATCATAAAATAATTTCCTTTATACTATAAACATTTCCATTCATAGTATTCAAATAAAATTCTTTTTACAACACAGACATCACAATATACACAAACTTCACTAAACACAAATCTTACTAAATAGATGGTATATGAACCTGATCTTCCTGATCCTTAATTTCTCAGTCAGTCATAACTATAATAAATTACCACATAAAGTAAGTCTGACTGATTATTGGCAAATTATATTTAAAACTCATAAAAAAATATTTTACACAAATCTCATTCACATAACTTTCACACATCATGCTCATAATTAATAATGTTAAAATGTTAATGAACTGACCTGTTTAGTATATTGTCCATAAGTCCATAGGTCTTGTATAGAAATTTTCAATAACTTATTTAGGAATTTTGAAGTCGGTAAAAATAAACTGCTCACTCTAAGGATCTTTTTTGAATATCTAAAAAATTACTACAATAGTGAGCTTCTCACCAGAGTAGCCAATCAAAAACCTGATTCACCCATGCATGAATAGCATGCTTGACTTAATGAGACACACTATGGAAAAGCCTTAGTGTAATAAATATATACAAACGCTATAACATAACTATTTAAAGTATGGAAATACATTATGGACAAAAATTAAAAACAATAAGTCAATGCTGTATTTTTATTAGATAATATCT